ACTGAGAAAGGGACAGAGTTACTGGAACCTATAAAAAACATTCCTAGTCAACAGATAACATTGATAATCTTTCATAAGAGCATTGTTGTTGTTTGTTTGTTATTTTTATTTTAATTTTTGGGCTGTAGAATAAATCCTTTGTACATTTTTTTTTTTTTATTTTGAGATTGGAGTTATTTGCTCCTTGTTACTCAGGCTGGAGTGCAATTGGCAGCTATCACAGCTCACCAAACAACCATCACACCTCAGGTTCAATGCCGATTCACTAACATATGGCCTCGCCATACCCCAAGTAGCTGGGACCCTACAGGAGACTGCCCCACCCATTAGCCAGGTTAATATTGTATTTTATAGAGACGGATTTCTCCAATTTGTTGGTCAGGCTGATCTCAAAACTCCCTAAACTAAGGTGATCCACCTGTCCTCCGCCTCCAAAATGGCTGGGTATTACAGGATTCGGTGACCACCAGTGCCATGGCAACATATTTTTTTCTTTTACCCTTTTTTTTGCAGATGGAAGTCCTCACATCCCGCATATGCCCAGGTAGGAAGTGCAGTAGGCATGATCCTCAACTCCAATTAGCCAACCTCACCTCCTAGGTTTACCAAAGTGTCAAGTGATTCTCCTGCCTCAGCCTCCCAAGTAGCTGGGATTACAGGCGCGTGCCACCACACCTGGCTATTTTTTGTATTCTTAGTAGAGACGGGTTTTCACAATGTTGGTCAGGCTGGTCTCAAACTCCTGACCTCACGTGATCCACCCACCTCAGCCTCCCAAAGTGCTGGGATTATAGGCATGAGCCACTGCACTCTGCCTTAACTCAGTATCTTAGTCCATATGTCGTATAACAAAATACCACAGACTGGGTGATTCATAAACAATAGAAATTTATTGGTTGAGCACCTCAGCCTCCCAAAGTGCTAGGATTCCAGGCATGAGCCACCGTATCTGGCCGGATTTACAGACTTTAAAATTATCTTTATTTTTTCAATTATAAAATTATTAACCCACTTAGAACAGATGG